GAAAGGCAAAGAGCAAGCCGTCGCAGGTGGCACTGTGTGTTCGCCAATCCGGGCCATGACAAGCGCAGCTGTCGCTAGACGTCACAGAGCAACCCACAGCCACAACAGCAGAAGCAGAAGCAGAAGCATAAGCAGACACAGAAGCAAAAGGCACCCCAGTCGGGGCAGACACAAAGCTCACCACCACTGCCACCAACTGCCACCACTACCACCACTGCCAGACCTCGCAAAGGCCAGGGCGTCGTTGCTACAGCTGCGCAAGTTGAATGATGAGTTACAGGCAGCGGTGCGTGAGCGAGACGAGGTACAGAAGGTGGTGGACGACCTCCTCGATCCAGTGGAGCATGACAGGGCCGTGCGCAGCCTGAAGGACAAGCAGGTGGTGGCTGACACGAAGCACCGCCACTTCCTGCACGCGCTGCAGGCCCTGAAAACAATGCTTCTGAATGAGCTACAGGAGTTTCAGGCCTGCAGAAGGGCTGCCAAGAGCCGGAAGGAGGCGCTCGCAGAGGAGCACGCGGCCAAGCAGGAGGCGCTCGCAGAGGAGCACGCGGCCAAGCAGGAGGCGCTCGCAGAGGAGCACGCGGCCAAGCAGGAGGCGCTCGCAGAGGAGCACGCGGCCAAGCAGGAGGCGCTCGCAGAGGAGCACGCGGCCAAGCAGGAGGCGCTCGCAGAGGAGCACGCGGCCAAGCAGGAGGCGCTCGCAGAGGAGCACGCAGCCAAGCAGGAGGCGCTCGCAGAGGAGCACGCGGCCAAGCAGGAGGCGCTCGCAGAGGAGCACGCAGCCAAGCAGGAGGCGCTAGAGAAGCACCAACAGCGGGAGGTGGCAGACCTCGAGCAGCGACAAGTACAGGAAATTCGCGACTGTACCCTCACCGATGCTTACGCCAGGAAGATAGCGGACGTCCACAGGAGCACATGGTTAATGACGAAGAAGGGCATGGCGGTGTCCTCATGGACCGGGAGCATCCTGGAGTTTCACACGGCCCTGAAGACACAACAGCAGCGGCAGGAGGAGAACGACACATTCAAGTTCCACATGAGTAGGCAGGCAGCGCGCAACACCATCCCCGTGGATGCCGTGAATCTCAAGCAAACGAGGGGCATGTTTGCGGTGATGTGCGTGGACAAGCTCCGTGTAGCAGAGCCGCTACCCGCTGCGAAAGACTTTCGCGGTCAGGCAAGGTTCACATTGGATGCGTCGGGGAGGTACCACATATGTGTGGCCTCCAACTTCACCCGAGGAGCACCTGATGACGTGGGAACGCTCGGGCAAAGCTTGCTCCAGGTTGAGAGACCTGTGCTGGCAGGGTGCGACGACGGCCTGCAAGAGGTGGAGGAGGAGGAAGAGGCACGTGCAAAGTGCGAGGAACATGGCGGCGGGGACATGGCCATGCAGGCGTTGGAGGAGAAGGCACGTGTGAGGGAGCGGAAGATGGGCGAGGTGGCACGGCGGTTGCAAGCGGAGGCGAGGGAGGCGCGCAGGCGGTGGGTGAGGCTGAGACGGGCCAAGGCGATAGACAAGCAGACACAGGAAGCAGAGGCAGAGTTTCAGGCAGCACGAGAGCGACATGCGGCGCACCTGGACTGGCGGCGGCGGCTGCGAAAGCGGCGGCGACTTCTGCGCATGAAGGAGCGCAACGCTCTCCTGCGCGAGAGACGTGGCGGTGTTGTGTCCATTGACCCAGGCGTCCGCGTGCCATTCACGCTGTGGACGGCGTCTGGGACCGTGTCCATCGCGCATGACGCCATCGAGGAGCTGCGCATGCTTCTCAGGAACGCCAATGACATCCGTGCTGATGCCGACCTCCTGGAAGTAGCGGTGCAGGAGGGCGAAGCCCGGGGCGAAGGCGACGTGGCAGCCGCGCGACGGCGGCACCGGCAGCAGCTGCGCGTGGTGAGGGACCGCGTGGACCACCTTCATCGAGTCGTCGCCAATTATCTTGTGATGTCGTTCCGCGTCGTGCTGCTGCCGCGCTTCGGCACCAGCCGGATGATCCGCCGGTCCGGTCGCCCGTTTGGCCGCGACACGGCTCGCTCCATGGGCGTCTGGGCACACTACCGCTTCAGGCAGCTGTTGTTGGACCGCGCGGAGAGGGAGCCTGGGTGCACGGTTGTGATCTGCGATGAGGCGTGGACGTCGAAGACCTGCGGCCGCTGCGGGCGGCTGCACCACAGCCTCGGCGCTGACGATGTGTTCGCATGCCCCCACGACAGCTGCAGATATGTCGCCGGCCGCGACGCCAACGCAGCCCGCAACATTCTGTTGCTGTGGCTGTACCGGAACGACATCCAGCTTGCACCGGTGCCAGCTCCTTAGCCGCGCACGGGGGAGGGAGGAGTAATCGCCGACACAGCACATGTTCACACGTCGAGCGATTGGGGCGGGGCAACCAAGAGAAGAGAAGCCGGGAGGCGAACGAGGACGAGGGGAAAGCGGCGTGCACCGGGCAAAGTCCTTCAGCACGCACATGCTGCAGCTTGTGCCTGCATGCTGGCTGGACACAGGTGTGTGTGTGAGTGCTTGTGTGTGTGCCTGTGTGTGTGTGTGAATGTGTGCTTGTGTGTGTGTGTGTGTGCTTGTGTGCTTGTGTGTGCTTGTGTGTGTGTGTGTGTGTGCACGCGTTCATCATCGTCGAGATCTTGCCGAATTTTGTTGAAGGTTTTCACAAATCTTCCAAACTTGCGATTTTTCGAGGTTGCTGTTGCCAACGATTGTCGACAGCAGAGAACAGACGACCGCGCTCCTTTCTTTCTCTCCTCACCTCCTCGAGCTCTCACCCCACTCCCACTCACATACCCCCCCCTCCCCTAACACTCACACAACACACACGACACACCAGCTCGCACGTGTGGCTCGCATGTGAAGCACCCCTACTATCCCCTTCTTCCTTGTTTTTTTCTCTTTGATCCCACCCCCTCCCTTCCCCCGTTTTACAGGTTGTTGGGTACCTGCTGATCTACTACGGTCAGCTTCGTAAAAACCCAAAGGTGAGCGGCTTGACGGCGTGATGTGTGAGTTTGTATGTGTATGTGTGCGTGAATGTGTGTGTGTGTGTGTTTGAGTGTGTGTGAGTCTGTGTGTGTGTGAGTGTGTGTGAATGTGTGTGTGTGAGTGTATGTGTGAGTGTGTGTGTCAGTGCGTGTGAATGTATGTGCGAGTGTGTCTGTGTGTGTGTCAGTGCGTATGATGAGTGCGAGTGGATGACACAAGATATGAACCTGAAATGTCAAGCGAAAATATCCCCGCAAGCACTTACACTTCTTTTGCATTCAACTTCCGTCAACAAAGCGCACCGTCGTGGTTGGCGTACGACAATGGTGGCATCTTCCATGTCGCTGAGTCGGCTGATGTGGGCTGCACTGGCAGCGCTCGTGGTGCTGGGCGTTGTGATGCAGCAAACGAGCGTGGGCCTTGTGGTTGCGCAGGAGCAAGCAGCACAACCAGAACCTGGTGCTGCAGTGGCGCAGCACCAGGACGAGCATGCGAAGCCTGCTGCGGTCGACGGCAACAATGTTGCCGACATTCAACGACAGCAACAAGACCAGAGACAAGAGGAAGCGGCAGTAAAGGAGGAGCAGCAGCAGCAGCGAGAGGAAGAAGAAGCGAAACATGAGGAGCAGCAACAAGAAGGAAAGGACGAAGCACAGGAGCAGCAACAACAGCAGCAGCAGGAGCCTGCAGCTCAACAACAGCAGCAGGAGCCTGCAGCTCAACAACAGCAGCAGGAGCCTGCAGCTCAACAGCAGCAGCAGGAGCCTGCAGCTCAACAACAGCAACAGGAGCCTGCAGCTCAACAGGAACAGGAAGAGCAGCCAGCGCAAGAAGAGCAGGCAGAGCAGGCAGCCAATGCGCAAAAGGAAGAAGCGCCAACACAACCACTGCAGCAGCAAGAAAAGCCGTCTCAAGAACACAAGAACACAGAGGCTCCAGCCCAAGAAGACAAGAACACAGAGGCTCCAGCTCAGGCCGACGTTCAGCAGCAGCAACAACAGCAACAACAACTGCAGCAACCAAATGAGATTCAACAGCCAAAGGCGGAGCCAAGGCAACGTGGAGACAAGGCGGTGCGTTCTCACAATACAATCACTGCTTAATGCTGCCTTTTTATCATCACGTATCCTTGATTCCTTTCTCACTTTGTGCGTGTGCGTGTGTGCTGCGATTCATGCCTTGGTAGCCGCCACGGCCACGGCGCCCGCTGACACCGGAGGAGGAGGAGCGCAAGAAGCGGATTGAAGAGCGACGGTGAGACCATCCTTCATGTGGCCTGCACCCAACAGTGCGCCAGCCTCAAGTGGACTGATGCACAGCCAGATGTACACACACACACACACACACACACACACACACACACACACACACACACACACACACACACACACACACACACACACACATGCCACAACATCTCACCTGCGTTGCTGTTCCATGTTGGCGCGTGCGTGGTGCACAAACAGGGCTGCGCAGGAGAAGTTTGAGAAGGAACACGCGGGACACGAGAAAATGCACTTTGAAATGTTCCTGCTGCTGATCGGCACCCTCATTGCCGCACAGGTACACGACATGCGTGTTGCCTCGTGGTATTCTTCTTGCTGTTCGTGGCAGCTCACCAAAGCCTCCCTTCTCATCTCTTTACCCTTTGCCCGTTCCTCACACACACACACACACACCCACACGCACGCACACACACACACACGCACACACGCACATGCACACACGCACCCCCCCCCACACACACACACCAACGCAAAGATTGTGCTGAACATGTGGCGGCGGTACCACTTCAACTCGTACCAAGCCGTGACGCTTGTGGGTCTGTGGGTCTTTCCGTTTTATTTTGCAGTGCGACACGAGGTATGTGGGCGCTACGCATGGCTCGGAAATGCAACTCACAACCTGCTTGGAACTGCCAAACCCGCACTTGCGGAGACACACAGACACACATACACACACACGCACGCAGACAGACACACAGACACACATACATACACATGTACACAAAGATAGACACGGACACGCACGCTCACCGACTGTCACATCACCTGACCTTTCTTCCGTTTTCACCACCTCGGCGTCCCCACCGGCATCGGCACCCCACCGCGCCATTTCACCAGATCCTGCACCTGCTGTTGTCGTGGACGGCGTTCACCATCGCCACGGGCTACATCGCATTCAAGGCAACGCGGCCCCAGATTGGCGTCCGCACCCCACGGTTCGTCGCAGGCAGTGTGCTGTAAATGCAGACATGTGCATATGTGCATGTGTGTGTGTGCATGTGTGTGTGTGTGTGCATGTGCGTGTGTGTGTGCGTGTGCATGTGTGCGTGTGCATGTGCGTGTGCATGTGTGTGTGCTTATGTGTGTGTGCTTATGTGTTTGAGTGTGCACACATGCGCGGGTGTGGTTGTTGCCACGCTTGCGAGTGTTGAAGTGCTTGCGACACACCATATTATCACTGTGCAAATCGTCCCTTCCATCTTTCACCCATCATCACCCATTGGCTGCCACCATGATGACCACTTGTCAGGTTGGTGTACACCTACTTCTACTTTGTGATCAAGCTGACGAGCATTGTTGCCGTCGTCGGCTACTTCATTGCCATCCTCGATTTCGTCATTGGCCACCTCCTCCCGCAGCCAGCAAACACAACGTACGCGTCTGTTGTGTGTTTGTGTTTGTGTGTGTGTGTGTGTGTGTGTGTGTGTGTGTGTGTGTGTGTGTGTGTGTGTGTGTGTGTGTGTGTGTGTGTGTGTGTGTGTGGTGTTTGTGTGTGCGTGCGTGCGTGCGTGTGCGTGTGTGTGCCTGTGTGCCTGTGTGCCTGTGTGCCTGTGTGTGTGTGTGTCTGCCTGTGGATGATGCCTTCATTCATGTCGCGTCCATGCATCTTCATCCGCTGTCACGTCAGGCTGATGGCGCTTGGCTTCTCCGGCATGTTCTATGGCCTCTATTACGGCGTGATGAGCCGCGACTTTGCTGACATATGTGCACGACGAATGGCAACAAACATCGGGGTGCGTCGCCAGCACGGGCAGCCCAACATTGTGAAGCGAATTGGCTGTGCACGTATTCGTTATGTGTGTGTGTGCATTGGTGGCACTGCCCTATGTTCCTCCTCGCTTCTCCACAGCCATCTTTGGATGCCTGCCCTCACCCAATTCCACACCCCTTCACACCTCTCTGCAGTACTACTCGGCCACAGGATTCCCGCGCAAGCAACTCACGGGCAACACGTGCGCAGTGTGCGGCGACCGGGTCCGGTGCGTACGCGCGTGTGTGTGCGCGTGTGTGCGTGTGTGTGTGCGTGTGCGCGTGCGTGTGTGTGCGTGTGTGCGTGTGCGCGCGCGCGCGTGTGTGTGTGTGTGTGTGTGTGCTTGTTAATTCGTTGCGCATACAACACACGCGCATCTGTGTGAACGCATGCAGCTGCCTTTGTGTTTCTTGGCGAAACTGGCGCCCTCCTTTGTTGCTCAACGACAACAATCGCTTTACTTGCCCCCATTCCCGTGTGCACAGGACTGACGGCTCTGAGAAGCGAGCACAGCTTGACTGCGGGCACACCTTCCACGAGTTTTGTATCCGCGGATGGTAAGTCGCAGCTGCAGCAACAGCGCATGTGCAGCTGGCGTTCCCCATCTGATATCGTCATCCTCTGTTACCCCTTCTTCCTTCGCGTGTTCATACGCGCAACACACACACACACATCTCACTGATACTACCTACCACCACAGGTGCATCGTTGGGAAGAAGCAGACTTGCCCGTACTGCAAGGAAAAGGTTGACCTTGCTCGACAGTTTCCAAGCCCTTGGTCACGAACAGATGTCACATACGCGCAGCTCTTGGACATTCTGCGCTACTTCGTTGTCTGGTACCCCGTCATCATCAATGTGGTGCAGGCAGAGTACTACACGTTAGGTCTCAAGTGATGTGTATGTTGATGTCGTGGGGACGGTGATGGTATGCCGAGAGGTGTGTTGCGGATCAGTAAAGAAAGCAATCTTGAAGTGAACTGCCATTCCAATGATTTCAGTCATCATTATTGCAACCGCCATCATCATATTGTCTATTCTGTTGTTACACAGCACACATATTCATCTCAGCCTCTCAATCGCAACAACGCAACACGAAATGTTTCTTCCGCTCTTATTGTGTCACATCACAACGCATCAGCAACCGAGTCCTGCAAATGATGGGAGATGGCGACAGTGTGATGTCGGCGTGAGGACACGTGGGTATCGCAAAAAACAATATGACTTGCAGACAGATAGACACAGACAACAAAAAAACCACACACACACACACACACACTCTCTCTCTGTCTGTCTCACTCATACACACACACACACACACACACACACACACACACACACACAACAAACACACACACACACACACACACACACACACACACACACACACACAAACAAACACACAGAGCATCTCAATTCCAACGCACAAACCCCACAACAAAACAAACGCAAATGCAAGGGTCCTCACCACGACGCCAAGGCGCTGCGCGTATTTCCTCTGCTCCGTCTGCAGCTGCTCAAGCGCCGCCGCCACATCTGGCTGCTTGTTGCCATCTGCCTTCTTCGCCAGCGCCTTCACTTCCTCAACCGCGCTGTGCGGAAGACACACTACCGTGGTCGGCGCGCGCTGCCCGCCCCACGCCTGCGCGGCCCCGGCATTGAGCGCACTCGAGCCGCCAACCCACTGGCGCGCCGTTGCATACAACTCCGCCGCCACGCCCAGGGCCTTGGCCAGCAGGTCGTGCCGCGCATACAGACGCATGAGGAGGGCAGGGTCGCCCCCGCTCGCAAGCGTGTCTTTGCTGTGGCGTCGATCAACCAAACGCTGGCAGCAGGCAAAGCAGAAAGACGTGAATGTGGATGAGGACGTGCGCATCGAAAAACACAAACATGAGCGAACCCAATGAAACACGAGGAGGCAAGCCAACACGTCGATACATCGAAACACACACACACACACACACACATACACACACACACACACACACACACGCACGCACCATGAGGCCGCTTGTGAGGAATGCGGGCAGCTCGCCGGGTGCGTGCGGGTCGAGGTTGAGCTGACTGCTGAGGGCCTTATCGATGGCAATGGCGTGGAAGCGATACGCCGTTGCTGGCGAGTCATACGTGCGCAGGAACCGCTCCAGGAGTCCGCACGCGCGATCGTACGCCGACGCGCCACTCGCCTCGCCGTAGTCGACCGTGAGTCCCGGCGCCACTTGTCCGCGTGCACGGCGCGCATCATCACGACCACTGCCGCGGGGCACGCGCTGCACAAAGCCAAGCCACTCGCAGGGGGCGTCCGGCTGCAGCTGCAGCGTCATGACCTGCTCGGCGAGCTGCTCGAAGATCGGGGCCATGGCTTCCACACTGGAGTGGAGGTTGAAGGCAACAGCGAGGGCAGCGGCGTCATCGAAGCGCCTGTGGTGGGCGAGCAGACGGATGGCCGTCTCCGCCGAGGGAAGACGCAGCACGTCGTACTCCGCTGCCACGGCCGTGGCAGACTTGGCAGCAAGCAGGTCAAGGTGCGCCTGCGTCAGCGCATACCTGTGAACGACATTGTAAGTGTTAAGGGTGAGACACATGCACGATGAAAGTGGCAAAGCATCGTCCAAACATGTCATTTATCAACACAGTGACGCAGCAAGCAACGCAGCGAAACATGACAGCCAGTCGTCCTCACTGTCGTGTGCATGTGTGTGTGTGTATCTGTGTGTGTGTGTGTGTGTGTGTGTGTGTGTGTGTGTGCATCTGTGTGTGTTGTCACCTTCGTTTGAGGTCCTGGACGGAAAAGACACACGTGTGTGCGACCGCTGCGCCGCTGCACTGTTCGTCGGCCTCGTCCATCGCGGGCGCTGCCGTCGTGTTGGGCGATGACTCATCATCAAGGTCATCCACATGCCCTGCTGGCAACGAAAGACACAACAACAGCAGCAGGCGCGCATGAGACATTGATAGTTTGAACAACAGAGGATGGTGGGGCACTGAAGCAACATGCTCCACAGACAGACACACACACACACACACACACACACACACACACACACACATGGACAGACACACACACACATGGACAGACAAGTGTCGTACGTTTGCGCTTTGCTGGGTCGTGTGTGCCCGCTGTTGCATCTGTGGTGTTGGTGTCAACGGCCTCGATGGCAATCCAACGGTCAGCGGGGCGCACGAGTGACAATGCATTCACTGCACTCAGGTACGCATCACGCTGCGTCGTGTGGAACAGGAGTCATATGGTGATGATGGTGGTTGGAGGGAAAGAGTTGGGGAGTGTGGTGAATGACATGAAGGTTAGTGGCCACACGGTCGTGTCTCTGTATCAGTTCAACAGGTCCAACGTGACAAACACACCAATGGTGTACACGAGAAGGCACCTTGCTCACCTGGGCCGAGAAGACAACAGATGCTGCCTCAAAGTCGTCCGGCTTGGCAAGCTTCTGCAGGGACGGGGGAGGGGGCAAACGAGCGTGAGAAACGAGGAAAAGGGTGGCCGTAAGATGAGGTGAACGAAGCCCATGGTCATCGCACGTGCGAGGACACAAACAAACAAACAAACAAAAACAATCAAACACATGACCTGCTCACACAGACACATGAAACCACACACACGCAAATGTTTTCGTACACCCACACGCACACCCACATTTACAGTGCGTACAGCACTGCTTGTGCTACCGTACGCACGTTGAGGTGCTCTGCAAACTCGGCCATCATTGCTGCGGCCGTGCGGTAGTCGTGCTGGAACACAAAGATGGAATACAGGACCTGCAATATCGGCAAGACGGAAATGCGCACGCGAGAAACAAGCGTGAGCTGTCACCACCACGCAGCAGCGCACACAAAGGCGTCTTGAACACAACACACACACACACACACACACACACACACACACACACACACACACACACACACACACACACACACACACACGAAACTCCGTGGGCACGCGCCTCGAACACAAGATGAACCTCTCATAACATCATCAACACTGGTGCTGCAACATGCAACGAGAGAATGCGACCTCGTAGTAAGTTGTCTGGTCGTCGAGCACAACGCCCACAATGTCGCACGTCTTTGCCAGGCGGAGGAGAATCTGCTTCACTTCGTTGAGATAGCTGTTGTACGGCAGCTGCACCAGCCGCTGCAGCTGGTTCCGTGCATACATGCACACAACTGGTGTTGTTTTGTTTGGTATTGAAAGATTGGGGGAGGGAGGGGCGAAAGAAAGGGGAGAGCAGAAAGAAGAGAAGGGGACATGTGACAGAGTTGGGTGTCCGGTGAGCGAGAAAAGGTGGCAAGGTCTCACCGCAGCAAAGTGTGCATGGGGCCACGAAAAACAGACAGCGAAAAATCATTCACACGCACACACGCATGTGCAAAGGAGCACGTACCCAGTTGGTGGAGGCAGGCCTTTGCGGTTGGCTCGTCCTTGTGATTCATGATGGCCATGAATGCGTCATCAACGAGGTTGAGGTGCAGCGTGTACTTGAACAGCCGCGTCCACCAGATTGTGGTCTGCACACAGAGACAGAGAGAGAGAGAGAGTGTGTGTGTGTTGTGCGGAGATGAGAAATTGAGAAATTGTCACGCGACACACAGGCGTCGATGCGGACAACAAACACACGCACATAGACACATACAGACACACCACCCCACCACCACACCACCGCACACAACTACAGTACCTCAGTATCGCGGAGCTCCTGGTCTTGGATGGCCTCAATCAGAGAAACGCCCAAGTGGAGAAAGTCGACCAGCTCAAAGGCGGCTTGGAACTGGACGTGCAGCAGCGTAGCAGAGATGGATGTGACAAGACATCAGCACCGCATCAGCGGCAGGCTGCATGGCAAGCGAGTAGACAACCACCACACGCCATTTTACAAGAAAAGCACAATGTGCCAGGATCACAGGCCAAGTACATCCACACACCCTGGCCATGTACTGAGCCTTCAGCTCGTCGTCGAGGGAGAAGAGGTCCGGCGGCAGCGTCTGCTCGAGCACGCGGTAGCAGTGCTCAACAAACCTGAACATACACACATGCACACAACAGGAATTGCACACACACACACACACGTGTGTGAGAAACGATCAGCAAGAGCATGTGTCGTCCTTGCTCGCCAGGGTTGGGCAAACACATCCACAAGCACAAACACGAAGCTGAAGACACAGAAGTAAAACCTCAGCGAGAGAACCAATCACAGGCAGAGGGAGGAGCGAAATCCAACCAGCAAACCCCCAAGAAAAAAGAGAGCGAGAACAGGGGCTGCGGGCGACCTGAGGAGGAAGAGCTGTGCTCTGTCTGCATCCGAGCAGTGCTGCGGCAGCTTGAACTGAAGCGGCGGGAGGAGACGGATGGCGTTGGCGCGCACGGCATGGTGGATGCCACTCAGTTGCGCAAAGCACGACTTCAGCAGTGCAACGCCTGCACAGTCAAGATGTGAGCAGTGGGTTGTTGGGGAAGGGAGCAAACACACCGCGTTAGCACCGTAGATACCATAACCCCTTTCACCCCTTGGCACCCTATTACACCCTCACACGCAAGCAAGCAAGCGTCGTAAAGCAAACACGTCCGAAAATTAGCGCACCTTTGCTGATGGCACGCGTCTCAATGTGGGCGAGGGCTGCGGTGTATGTGAGGAGGGCGGCGAGGGCCGGCGTGGGCTTGTACGCGTCGTCGCCAACATCAACAGCACCGGCGCCGACGACCGTCGTGTAGTCCCGCAGCAGCGACAGCTCCTCCCGCGCAAGCAGCGACCGCGACACAAGCAGCGCGCACGCCCCAGACGTGGTGTCGCTGGTGGCACCGTCCGCACCCTCAAATGCAAAGTGCGGTGCGGTGTCTGCGGTGGTGGACTGGAGGTCGCTGGCAACGGCACAGAGCACAATGCGGCTGGCAGCCTCCATCATCATGCCAAGCCGCAGCCAGTCGCTCTGGGCACGCGGGGACCAGTGCGGCACGCCCCGCACAAACGACGCGCACCGCTATCGATGTGTGTGTGTGTGTGTGTGTGTGTGTGTGTGTGTGTGTGTGTGTGTGTGTGTGTGTGTGTGTGTGTGTGTGATGTGAGGGAGACGAGGAAACACACGAGTCTCATTTTCAACTGCAAACCCAGCGTTCTCTGGGTCGAGAAACAATTCAGACACACGGCGGAGCAAGCAGGCAACACACGTCTTCGCGGCGCTGAGCCTCCGTGTCCATGGGCGCAAATGCACCGCGGTGCCTGTCAGCCAGCGTCTGCACACATGTGTGGAGGAGATGGCAGTGAGCAGGGATTCAAGGCAGTTCAAGAAACAGGGTGGCCTCAGGCGTGACACGGAAATGCAATGGAACAAGGCACAACTGCGCACGCACAATGCAAGTCTGCGCACCATCATTTCCATGACGCGTTGCAACAGCGTGGTGTCCCTGTGCGCGTAATAAGATGATCACACGTGCGCATGCAGCCGACGGCGTGAGTTCGAATCAAATCCCCCCCCCCCCCTGAACTCATCAAGGAAAAGTGTGACCAGACACGCCTGTCACTCCACGCGCACCTGCCCCTCCAAACCAAACCAAACTCACGATGCTTGGTCTGCAATGGTTGTGCAGCACCAGTGCACGCGCGTGTATGCACTGCACAGCTGGCACAGCTCCCGCAACAGCCGCGGCAAATCCCTGAAACGCTTGTGCCCGCTCAGGGCCTAGCATAAGGAAGGCAAGGGGTTGCGTATGCGTGTTTGTGAATGTGTGTGCATGTGCGCGTTTGTGAGTGTGTGCATAGGCGTGTTTGTGAGTGTGCGCGCGTGTGCGTGTATGAGACAGAGTGGATTCTTCAAAGGTGAAGCACGAGATGACAAGAGCATGGCGCAGCAACAACGCAATAAACGACGCTACAACACACATGTCACGCAAACCACAACAGATGTACTAGTGAGGCAGCAAGCTCAACGCACGAGGTCCCGGGTGGCGCTGGCGATGTGGGCGGTGACGAGAATGTCACGCGAGAGGAGGGCGAGCGTCTCCACCAGCTGCGCACAGCGCCTGAGGATGGCGGTGACAAAGTGGCGTGGTCGCAGTGAATGAGTGGGGGGGGGGGCAGTGGGCCACGGAATTCGCATGTGTGTGTATGTGTGTGTACGTGTGTATGTGTGTACGTGTGTGCATGTGCGCACATGTACAGGGTCGTAGTTCACAGGGGGCAGGTTGCGACGAGCAGTGCACACACCTTGAGATGATGCGAATCGCTGCTGGCGACGACAGAGACGTGCGAACTAAACATGTTCATACACATGTGTGTGTGTGTTTGTTGAATGTGACCACGTGAAATGATTGCCGAAACAGCGCGGGTCGCCCAACAGCAAGTACCACCACCATCATCATCATCATCGCTGCTGTTGCAACGGACCTGCGTCGAGGGCGGGCTGGGCCCTGAGCTTCAGCGCGTGGATGACGTGGGAGACGGCGCCAGAAATGTCGCGGATACCGCGAAGCTTTGGTGCAAGCTGACAGTGCACAGGCACACGCACGGGTGTCGGGGTATGTGTGAAGACGAATGTAGGGACAAAGTGAGAGAGCACATGGTAGATGCGACATGCACACATACCATTTCTTATGCACGCACGGCCACACCCAGACAGACAGACAGACAGACAGACAGACAGACACACACACACACTCTCTCTCGCCCACGAACCTGCATCTTGATGTCGAGGGTTGCGTTTCCGGCCTCCACGTCGTCAATGACAGCTGTGGCGGCGGGGAGGGCGCTGCCGTCCAGCAGCCCGCGGGCCAGCGCCTCGCTCGCACGCATCGGTCCTTTGATGAACGAGCTCGTCACCTCAGCAGGCAGCTGCTCCCGTCATGCAGGGATGTGGTGCGTGCGTGCGTGCGTGCGTGCGTGTGTGTGCGGATGTGAGCGTCGCGGCGTGTGTGTGTGCGGATGTGAGCGTCGCGGCGTGTAATTTAATTGGTGCAGCCTCACAACGCAGTTGTTATGCGGTTGACCAGCACGCAAACCACAACGCCATGTGAGAGACCACATGCAGAAGCGGCCACACGCATCACCGGAATCAACCACCGCACCATGTCGCTGATGTCGTGTGCTGCGCGCATGAGAAGATGCACGTCCTTTCGCGTCGACGACGGATACTTGGCCGCCGTCCCCTCATCTGGTGAACGCAGGAGTAAAAGACGCATTGATTGGGTGTTGTTGTTTTTGTTTGTTTTTGTTTGTTGTTGTTGTTGTTGTTGTTGTTGTTGTTGTTGTTGTTGTTGTTGTTGTTGTTGTTGATTTGTGGATATTGCGCGTGTGAGAAGCGACAACAGCCGATGGTCAGTGCGCAAAGGAAGCAAGATGGCAAAAAGCAGCACGCATGACGACCACGCAAGGCCCATGCACAAGTTGATTGACTCAAACACATCAACGGGAACGGGGGAGCAGCAGCAGCAGCAGCAGCACCAAAGGGCATTTCCTCGACGAGGATGTCTGTGCGGAAGTAGAGGTCCTCCAGCGGGTGGCACGGCACCAGTAGCCGCACGTCAGCCTACGTTGGTGGCAGTGTCGTGTTGTGTCGCGTGTGTGCGTGCATGTGTGTGTGTGCCGTGAGGAGGGAACAAGAAGGGAAGGAGTCACATGCAGAAGCAAAGGGGCGGAGTTGAGGAAAAGGGAAACACGCGTTCAACTACGACACGCGAGCACACACGCACACGCACACACGCACACACGCACACACACACACACACACACACCTGTGTGAAGAAGCATAGGCAGTCGTTTGCGACGTCAAAGCGGATGCCCGTGCCGCGGTGCTGGCGCTGCGGAGAAACACCCGAGTACAAAGGGGGAGCATGAGGAGTTGAGGTGATGTTACTCGACCAGCAGCAGCAGTGGGAGGTGGTGGTGATGCATGCAACACGAAGTGAGTTTTATCTGCTGAAAAAATTCAGGCGCACAACACACACACACACACACACACACACCTCCTCGAGCTGGACACATGTGTGGAGAAGGGTCTGCCAGCACTCAGCCTCCTTTTCCTGATACACGCGCGCCTCAACAGCCGTGTTGGTGTCCGCAGCAAGCACAATCCGCACCTGCAGCGTTGCCAGAAAGAGAAGAAAACAGAGATACAGCTGGTGTCATGACTTCACCAAAGCGTACAAACACAAATGCAATACAAGTAGTCCCGCAGTCGGTTCGCACAAGTGACCACACACACACACATACACACACGCACGCACACACACACACACACACACACAGACAGCCAACACGCTGATGGTTCGCACGTGGTCCTCGACAGCGAGCACGAGGGCGTCCTTGATCTCTGGGAGGGACATCTCGGCAACAATGTCCGCCGTGAGGTCGGATCGCGTGCACAGCGCCGTCGCCAGCGTCGTCTGGCTGAACGCCGCGCCGTGCAGGATGTGGTCCGCATACACCTCCCGTGCACTCTGCCGCAGAAGAGAAGGGGGAGGGAGAAGGGGGGGGGGAGAAAGGGGGAGGAGAGAATGGATGTTATTTGGGTCAAGAATTATCGTGTATACGCACGTACATATGTCCACGGGTGTGTGTTGCATATGTGTGTGTGTGAATCACGAGAGCACTTTGTGAAAAGCAGGAGTGGGTGTTGACCATGCAACTGCCGTAGTGGTGGTTCTTGCTTGTGGATGCGTGTACACACCAGGAACGGGGGAATGACGAGGGAAGTGGAGAGCACAGTGTCCTTGAACACGGGCGTCCAGGGCCGGAGAGAGGCAGAGCTGACACCAGGCAGTGGTGAGAGTGGAGGTCGTGGTGAGAATGATGGTGGTGTGAGCCGCGAGGTGGAGCAAAAGCTGACAAGTGTCGCAATGTTGATGATTTGAATGGGACCGTCCCCTCCCCAAACAAGACACACAACTGCATGCTGATGCGTGTGTACGGCGGAAGTGCACCTGAGGGACGAGACTGCGCAGTGCGTTGTGAGGACATCGTCGTCGTCGCGTGTGGTGGCCATAATCGCCACCTCCGACAAGCCAACTGCAAGCGACTCAACCGCAGCCTGCACGCGCACACACGCACACGCGCACACGCGCACACGCATGTGCATGCAATAGTGAGCATTGATGAGAGGTGCTGATGCAACACGCAAGGATATGTGCAACAGTGTTTATGTGAATGTGTACGCGTATTTGTGTGTATGTATGTATGTATGTGTGGGCGTGCTTGAATGTGCATGTGTGCGTGTATGGTCTTGAGAGTGTGCGTGTATGCGTGTACCGGAGCGCCGAGAATACGGCGATCGACGGAGACGCGCATCCCGTCCTGCAGATCAACAATCAGCACAACAACCTGCCAAGATTGCAGACCGTACGGAGAATGAGGGAGACAACATAGAAAGGGGAAGGACAGCATCGTCAGCGACGGAAACAAAGCAACAGCCGCAAGCCCGCATTCAACGCCACGCACGCGCATTCACAAGTGTGTGTGTGTGTGTGTGTGCATGCGTGTGCGTGTGTGTGTGTGTGTGTGTGTGTGTGTGTGTGTGTGTGTGTGTGTGTGTGTGTGTGTGTGTGTGTGTGTGTGTGTGTGTGTGTGTGTGTGTGTGTTGCAGTTGGCACCTGGCTGGCGTCGCCGGCGGAGACGTAGAGAGCGACCTGCAGCCGGTCGCCCTGCAGCAGCACATTGTCAAGCTGCCAGCCACAACCAAGCGGTGGGTAGCGACACGTGAGTAGGGAGGGAGGCAAGCAAGGAGGGACAGACGGAGGAATTGGGGGAAGGAGGAATTTTTGGGGTAATGGCAAAAGCAGCAGCACGCATCTCAAACAACTCCGTACAACAATTTACACAACACGCAAACGAGACGAGAAGTAAGCGCGCAGGCAGCATGATGAGCAATGTCATCATCATCATCATCATCTCCACCACCACCACCATCATCATCATCTCCACCACCACCACCACCACCATCATCATCATCATCATCATCATCATCATCATCATCATCATCACCAGGTAGTTCTCTGGCGCGATGGCCTCCGTGTCATCAATTTCCGTCAGATCCGGGATGGCCAGCGTCGACTGCACCTCAGCCTGTGGAAAATCGTGTGTGTGTGTGTGTGTGTGTGTGTGTGTGTGTGTGTGTGTGTGTGTGTGTGTGTGTGTGTGTGTGTGTGTGTGTGTGTGTTTGGAGCGATTGTCGTGCTCGACAAATTAGGACACAACAATGAGTGCATGTCATACACCCAGAAGAACAAGAACAACAAATGCATTGCCACAGACCTTGTCATCGCAGGTGGTGATGATGCGAAGGGTGTGGTTGTGGTGAACGCTCAGCGTGACGTGAGTGCCGTTGTGAAAACATGATGTCGCTGCCTGTGCTGCGTCGCCCTGCGGCTCCCCACTGCACATCACAAACAGAAACACACACATGTGGAGGTGGGCGACAGCGCAGAGTCATGTGAATACATGTGCGTGTGCGAGAGGGTGTAAAGACGTGTGGGTGGAGTATGAGCAAGGCTTGTTGTTAGCTTAGCTGCTTGGGCAGAGTGGCAGAGTGTCAGATGAGCAACGCGCAACAATGGCGCACGTACGCTTGAGATGTCCTGAAGAAGCTCAGGAACCGTTGCATGATGGCTGGTTGTGATCATGGTCGACAGGCGGTGAGCGAGAGGCGACAGCGTGAGCAACTTCAATGACACACACACACACACACTCACACAAATGCATTCTTGCACAAGGCACCTGGTTGGAAGAGCGGGATGGCCTGCTGGTCGCCAGTTGCGTCGACGAGATACAGCGCGCCCTCCGACGTGAGCAGCACAAGCATGTGCTCGTCAACATCCACACGTGCCACATTTGCTACATTCACACGGAAGCCACAGCAGCCATGAGATCATTGTTGAAGTTACATTACGCAGGATATACGCATGGCTCTGTGCCAGGGACGCGAAGGCACACACACACACACACGCGCGCACACAGACAGAGGCTTGCAGAGACATATGCACACGTTCACACGATCTCTGTTTGCGCGCTACGCCTTTGTTTGTACATAATCAACGAGCACTCACCGCAGCCCGTGTTGGTGACCATGTGTGTGCACTCTGTCAGGTATGGCTCCGTGTGCATGTTGCTCTATCAACCCACATTGCCCAGTGTAGTGGTTGGTACTTGTAAGCATTGAAAGCGCCACACCAGCACCGAAGAGCAATAGACACACACGCACGCGCACGCACACGTACACGTACACACACACAAGTACACACATACACAAGTACACACACACGCACACACACGCACACACACACGCACACACACACATGTGCGCGCATGCACTCCAACATACCGTGTTGAACTGGAGACGGTACAAGGTGCCTGACGCAGTGACAAAGATGACGAGGAGCGTGTTGTCGACATTGAGAATTGAGATGTCAGGCACAATCTCGTCGCCAGCGTTGAAGTCGCAGTAGTTGATGTCCTCCATGTTCTTCTCTGCATCCTGCGCAACCACATCATGACACTGGTCTTGCAGCAGCACTCGCGTGCCCTGTACTTTCCTGTGCACCCCGCAGCCGAGCGCAGTGTTGTTGGTGTTGTTGGGTGTGGCAAATGCGCGTCAGCGTGGACCAATCGCAACACCTGTTGAGACGAAATAGGCACACCCAGCGCAGCGCACACGTGCAGTTCGATTCCAACAGAATACACCCACGCCCCACCGATGTGCGCTCACCCACCACCACAGTTCAAACACGCACAGTCAACGCACGCATGGACTTACCAGAAGAGGTGGCGCGTGGTTCCACCGCTGACAAGCGTGGTCATGCCAGCCGTGTCAGTGGCGAGCGAGGCGTCATCGCGCTCCCGCCACTCACACATGCGCACTTCTCGCAGCGCCATCTTCGAAAAACGTGGCGGCAGTGTTCCAACAACGACCGGAGCCCACAATCCAGCGTCAGAACGCACCCACGACAGGAAAAATGCAGTGTCTTGCTCTCACTGCTTCATACACCCCGCACACACACATGACACGCATGCACACGTACACGGCACAACTCACGGGCACAACCCACGCATCCACACACCACGACCCACACTGCACACACACACATGTGCGCCACCAACCTTCTCTTCTTCCTTGCTTCTTGCTGTTTGCTGTTCCGCTGCTGCTTTGCTGCGTTTGTGCTGGTGGCGGTTGCATGCGAAGATTGGTGGATACTTTTTACAGATTTTCCTTGCTTCAGTTTTTTTCTGTTGACAGAAGAAAGAGAGCAGATACGAGAAAGACGTTGTTGCTTTTGCATTTGTGTCCACCAGTCTCTGCCTCTCACTCTGTTCGCAGTCGCCCTCACGTCAACGTTCTCTTTCCCCTTGAGCTGCCAGCTTGTTCCCCTCCTCCACGGACATTTTGGGACTGCCACAACACACCCGCCATGGAACAGCTCCTTGCACAGCTGCAGATGGCCTCAGGCGTACGTTTGGAGAACAATGTTGTTGTCGTTTGTGTTTGTTTGGGTCTTGCGTTGTTGATGATAACTGATGATGCAGTGTGCTCAGAGGGTGATGGATGCACACCCGCACATGAACGGATGCACGTTGCCTCACCTGCAACGTCCTTTGTGCCTGTGTGCAACGCCCTCCTTCCCATCTCACTGTCGTGTGCGTGCTTTGGTGATCGACAGCAAAACGCAGGACCTGCCGTTGATCGCCCCATGGTCGACTCTGGCGAGACCATTCACATCTCCAGCCTCGCGCTTCTCAAAGTGCGTGCAATACAATGCTTGTGTGTGTGTGTATGTGTGTGTGTGTGTGGATGCACATGTGTGCATGTGTGTGTGTTGTGTTGTTTCAAGCTTTGGCGCGTGCTTCCATTGTTGTGTTGCTTCCCTTGTACTGCATGTTCTCACTAATGTTGTGTTTGTGCTCGCTGTAGATGCTGAAGCACGGTCGTGCTGGCATTCCCATGGAGGTCATGGGTCTCATGCTTGGCGAATTTGTGGACGACTACACAGTTCACGTCATCGACGTGTTTGCCATGCCCCAGAGCGGAACGGTGTGTGTGTGTGTGTGTGTGTGTGTGTGTGTGTGTGTGTGTGTGTGTGTGTGTGTGTGTGTGTGTGTGTGTGTGTGTGTGTGACAAATGGGGGAAATGGTCTGAATCATCCACTCCTGTGCCGCCTCGTTTGGTTGTGTGTTTGCAGTTTGCATCACAGCTAGCTTGCACAAAGCCTCATGCGACCACTTCTTCCCCTTGTCTCTATCGTGCACGTGCGCGTGTTGTAGGGCGTGAGCGTCAAGGCCGTCGACCCCGTGTTCCAAACGAAGATGCTTGATTCGGTAGCCATTACGTACTACGTCGTCGTCGTCGTGTGGTGTGTGTGTGTGTGTGTGTGTGTGTGTGTGTGTGTGTGGTTGGTTTGTTTGAGTGTTGTCTGCTCGTGCGTGCTTCGTGTGTATGAAAGTGCGCTGACTGCTCAAACAACATTGTTTCCCACGTGCCAACGCACGCTCACGTTCACCCTCTCCCCCAACCTCCCGCCCTCCAAACTCACCCACTCGACATGCGGTGCACCATCACAAACAGCGCGGAGATGGTGGTTGGCTGGTACCATTCACATCCCGGGTTTGGGTGCTGGCTCTCTGGCGTGGACATCAACACGCAGCAGAGCTTTGAGGCTTTGAACCAGCGCGCCGTCGCCGTCGTCATTGACCCCATCCAGAGCGTCAAGGGCAAGGTTGTCATTGACGCGTTCCGCCTGATCAACCCGCAGTCGATTGCGCTTGGCATGGAGCCGCGGCAGACGACGTCCAACCTCGGTCACCTGCAGCGGCCCTCCGTTGCCGCCCTGGTGCACGGCCTCAACCGCCACTACTACTCGCTCGCCATCAACTACCGCAAGAACGAGCTCGAGCAGAAGGTGCTTGTTTCTTGTGTTGTGTGTGTGTGATTGATTGTGTGTGTATGTGTGTGGTTGATTGTGTGTGTGCGTGTGCTTACGTGCGTGCGTGTATGTATGTGTGTGAGGCTGATTGTGTGTGGTTGATTGTGTGCCTGGCCATTGTGCATGTGCCATGTGAGACGTGTCTCTTGTGCTTCCTCACCGCATCTCCCTCATTCCATCATTCCCTCCATCCTTCCCTTCTTCCCTTCTCCCTCCTCGATTCCCCTTCCCCCTCGTGCAGATGCTGCTGAACCTGCACAAGCAGTCGTGGGAGTATGGCCTGACGCTTGAGGACTACGAGCACCACTGCCAGGCAAACGAGAAGACAGTCAAGGAGATGCTTGACCTGGCAAAGCTCTATCACAAGGTTCGTTCAGCGGACGCCCTGTCTTTGCCAATGTGTCAGTGTCTCTCCTACACACACACAAGCGATCGTGTAGCTACATGTCCACAGACAGACAGACAGACAGACAGACAGACAGACAGACAGACAGGCAGGCAGGCAGGCAGGCAGGCAGGCACACAGGCACACTCACTCACTCACTCACTCACACACACACACACTCACTCACTCACTCACACACTCACTCACTCACTCACTCACTCACTCACACACTCACTCACTCACTCACTCACTCACTCACTCACTCACACACTCACTCACTCACTCACTCACACTCACTCACACTCACTCACTCCCACGCTTCCCTCTCCTTCCTCGCCCGCACAATGCAGTCTGTGGAGGAGGAGATGACGATGAAGCCGGAGCAGCTTGCCATCCGGCACCACGGCAAGCGCAACCCGAAGCGGCACCTCAAGGACAAGATTGATGTGCTCATGACATCCAACATCACGCAGTGCCTCACAGCCATGGTCGACGCCGTTGTGTTCAAGTAAACGTTGCTCGCATGCATGCATCACGCGCAGAAAGAAAGGGAAAGCGAAGAGGTGGGGAAGGGAGGGGATGCATACACGCGCGCAGAGCAAGTCGCAGAGAGACATGGCAGAGACACAGAGAGAGACCACGTTCAGGCGCAGCACACAAAACGCAAAGAAGAACCAAAACTTTGCGTCGTCAGTCGAGTGTCTTGCTTGAGAGTCCTCCCAAGCAAGCAAGCAAGCAAGAAGTGACACTGGCTGACCTACCCGCACTTTTGGTGTGCTGATCACTCCACCCACCCACTTCACCTGCGTTGTCTCCCTTGCCATCGACGCCTTCCAAACCCGCCTTCCCGCCTTCCCCACCCTCCAACCAGCGCACGATGGGGCTGTCGAAGAAGCTGTTCGTCGGCACGGAGGAGCTGTTTGTGCGCTATGCAGGGTTTGTTGGCCGCAACCGAAACGGCCGTATCCTGGCGCTCGTGGGCGTGCTGCTCATCGTCGCCTTCCTGCCTGGCTTTGCTGTTGTCGATGAGGAGAGCCGCATCGAGAAGCTTTGTCAGTGTGTGTGTGATGTGTGTGTGTGTATGTATGTGTGTATGTATGTAGTGTAGTGTTGTGTATGCGATGTGTGTATGTAGTGTAGTGTTGTGTATGCAATGTGTGTAAATGTGCATGTGTGCATGTAGTATGAGCATGTGTATGCAATGGGTGTGTGTGTGCATGCAGTGCGATCATGTTTATGCAATGTGCGTGCACATGTGTGTGCGATACTGTCTCAACTACATGTTGTGCATGAGCCAACGCCCTTGTGTCCTTCCTCTCTCCCTTTGCCCTTTCTCCCACGCCTTGCCTTCGTCACTCGCAGATGTGCACGAGAGGTCGCGGCTGCATGGCGAGTACGAGTTCTTCAGGGACCACTTTGGAGGCCTCTCACGCGTCCAGGCCACAATCCACCAGAGCACCAGCGGAGAGACAGCGACCAAGGAAACGTGAGCATCACCACTGCCCTTGCTCTCTGCGTGCACTGCAGGCTCTTTATTGCACCATAACACGTCTCTGGCCATCGCATCTGCGGCCTCACACCACGCACGCACCAACCAACAACAACAGGCTGGACTCGATCCTGACAGCTATCACGCCCATGTACAAGGAGGACGAGACCAACCTGTGCAACTTCTATGACGGTGTCGCCACTTCCCGCCCAGCCCTTTGCAACAACACCGCGTATGCCAGCAACATCTACTGCTCGTGCGAGGAGATTGCCGGCAGTCCAAATCAGATCTCCATCACCTGGCCCGCCAACGGAAGGGTGCGATGACAAAGCCAGCCGACCTCGTGGCATCTTGTTGTTGCCTGTCGTCATTCGTGCCTTTGATTGGCGCCATCTTCTGTCTATCCTTTCACACCGCATGTCCGCGCCGCTTTGCCTCACCTGCGCAACTGTGATTGCCATGGCTCTGCCACGCCTCTCATACGCATGCACCATAGCCCATACACGCGTGTCATCGCTCATACACACACGCACACATCATTGTTTGCAATGCATCGCCAGGATGAAACAATCACGCAAAAGGACCTGTGCGAGGCGCCACCCGTGCCCGACGTCCTCAAGAGTGCAACGGTGCGCTGTCACTTGCACGCACCCTCACACCTGTCACCAACCTACCCCTTGTGCACCGCTGGTCAACGCTTATGCCGACTCGCTATGACCCTTGCATCCTTTGCACACTGGCTGTGGTTCTTCTTACCCGCCATTTTCACTGCCATCCAACACACGCTCCTCATGCACGCTGACCTTGCTTCTCGTGCCACCCACCCCTCTTGTCTGCACGCCTGTCATTTCGCCCTCCCGTCATCACGCTGTCACGTTCACATGTTAGGAGCTGTCGTACGAGCCAACTGACCCCGGCGCCACCTCCTCCGCCACGTTCCTGGAGTACGAAGATCTCGTCTACACCTTCCGCTCGGTTCGTGTTGTATGTGTGTATGTGAGTTTGTGTGTGTATGTGAGGTTGTGTGTATGTGAGTTTGTGTGTGCGCGCGCGCGAGCTTGCTTGCTTGTGCCCACAGAGAGCATCTGCAGCCCTTCAAACAGCCATTCCGTGTCACCTTCTCACCCCCGCCGCCCACCTACCATCAACCCTCACCACTGCATCAAATCACCACCATTCCCACCATCAACCCCCGCCCGCATCCCCGCCATCACTCCATCAGGGTTCGCTGAGGAACGACCCCGTGTACCGCACGTACCGCGCGACTGCCAAGCAGCTGTGCGTGGACGAGATCCAGCGGCAGTGGGCGTCGCGCGCATACGAGGACATCACTGCGGCCGTCATCCAGTGCTATGCGCGCCTGAACGCAGAGGTGTTTGGCCCCGTATATGGCGTCAACACGGATGCGACGCTGGACACCGCTGGGCTGCAGGCGCTGTGGGAACTGGCTGTGCGCGGCGAAACCAACAGCACCGTGCTTGAGTTTGCATACAACAACGCAACGACAGGCGCTGCACTTGGGACACAGGTGTGATTGTGTGTGTATGTGTGATTGTGTGTATGTGTGATTGTGTGTGTGATTGTTTGTGTGTAGTAATGTGCTTATGCGTGCAACGTGGTTTTGTTTGGTTTATATTGCGTGCTTGGCTGTTGCCAGGATGCATGGATTGCGTTTTGTCATGAACAACACTATTGCAATCGCCTCCTTCCCTGACACGCATGACCGCAAACGCACACACACACGCACACACGCACACATACACATACACATATACACACGCACACACACACACACACACACGCACGCACGCACGCACGCACGCACGCACACGCGCACACACGCACACATACACATACACATATACACACGCATATTGGTCTGTACAGGCCGTGCAAGCGTGGAATCAGACGCAGGAGACGGTGAACGCTGCGAGTTTCCTCGTTGCGCAGGCAACTGCTGCGGGCTTTGGTGCCACACGTGCCCAGTTTGCACAGGAGGGGCGAATCATGTCGTATGGCTACGCCGAAACAGCACACTGCGTTGCACAGTACGTGTGATTGACATGAAGGTCCATGTAGATCATGGGGCTTGTGTGCTGTGCATGTACATGTGCATACGTGTTTGTGACTGCGTGTTAGCTTTTGTGTGTGTGTGTGTGTGTGTGTGTGTGAAATCTTGCAGCTGACTTATGCGTGTGGTTGCACTCTTACACCAAACACACACACACACAACACACGCACACACACGCACACACACACACACACACACACACACACACACACACTCACACACTCTCTCTCGCGTGTGCAGGTACCAGCGGGAGAACAGGGCAGCAATTCTGGCTGCGGTCGGCCCGAGTGTCATGCAATCGCGCGATCTCGAAGACAACGGCGTGAAGGACTGGGACGACGCAGGCCTCGCTGCTGCCTTTGCCTCTCTCGAAGCGGTAAGCAGGAACAACAGCAGAAGGGATGGAGGGAGGGAGTTGGGGTGAGATGGGGTGGGCAGAAGGCACGCGGGGGCGAAGCAAGAAGGGAGGGTGGACTGCAGATGGTGCGCACGTTGTCTGATGCAGCGCGCA